TACACACACACAAACACACACACACACGCACACACACACGCACACACGCACACGTGAGGCGACGATTATTATTTATACCAATCAGGTAAGGTGAAAGGGGTGAGTGGGTCAGGGGAGTTGAATGACGGGGGCTGGTAACTCCTAGATCGCCATAACAAACAAAGTTTCCATCTCCCTTCTTCACATCTTTTCTTAATACCATTGCGTATCTGCTCTCTGGTTATACTAATACACTCTTTTGGGGAAGTCTTTAGTATGTTCTGTTTGGGTTGCACACTCCTATGGTAACACAATTTCTTGTGCATCAGATACTTAGAAATATTAGCACGAGCGGTGGGACATTGTGATTCACCGAGAGCCCGTTGCCTCCTCCACTCAGCTGAGAAGAGAACTTGTTTAGTTACAGCAAATAATTATTACGTTTAAGCTTCCATTACTCGAGTCCTGTTACTAGGAGATGTGTAAAAGGAAACACCCAGGTTAATTAATTAAGCAGGTAATCCCCCTGCTTGTCCCACTCACCATCGACCAACCTAATATGGGGAAGGTTCCGGGTGGGGAGGAAGCGGGAGGTGGGAGACACGAGGCAGCCTTATAACACAGTCAGAGGTTCAGCCAGGGCCGTGTTACTCGGGGAATGTGGAAGGTCCTGACGCTAGTATTGAATTGAAACAGAATTGAATTGAATTGGACAGGGCTTAAAGTTTACCCAATTTCAATTTAGCGGCTGTTAGGATCTCCATGCGTCCTACACTGATAAGGGATCCTGACTAACGGTTCCACTGCATTCTGGGGACCCTTGGAATGTGTACTGGAATTCAGTGGTGATGTTTTCAGGATTTCTCCAAGGATATGGCTAGGGAGAGGGTCGCCAACCAAGCGTCGGGAGACACCTGTGCTGTTAATGTCAACAGGCAAGGAGATATTCACTTCAGCTGGTAAAAAACAGGATGTGCTGGCCGTTTGTCCCTACACAGGTACAATTCAATGCCTAAGATGGATATAATAACTTATTTTATATATTTATCCATGAAACAATACTGACACGATCGATTATTAAATGAAAAAATATTAAATACACAACATTAAAAAACAAAAGAACTGCGAGATTGTTACGCTTTATTGCAATGTCTCCATTATTAACTATATCCGGGATTTCTCGAGTTAATATTTCTTTGGGGAGCTTGACCAGACAGAGTTTTTGTTGATTATCAACTCTAACCACACCCCCTCCCGCCTCCGTCTCACCTTGGTCTACGCTCTACGATGGAAGGTATAACATGGGACACAATGGCGAGCATACAATAGTAATAAGACTGCCTCCCCCAAGGTAACGTGCATTATACTGTAGTGTGGTAACTGAAAACTTCATTCTTTTATTTGAGGTTTTGTTTATCTTTTAAGTTCTGCTTCACCCTGCCAATGCTAAAGTAACCTTGTCTAACACGTGTCTCATCATATTGGACAAGATGTTCATGTTTGGCCACTCATAAATTCATTTTTCGGGCTGAAACGCAAACTTTTACTTACTGAAAGGTTTGTAAGAAAACATTACCTTGGACGTCAGAACGCTTAATAACAGTGTTGAAGTGCTCGAGTCTGGCTCTGTCTAATTTATATGTATTTGGTCAAGAATTTGAATTTAAACATGGAAAATTCGGACTTTGATTTGGACTGGGCATAATTGACGTGATGACTCTAGCCGAGTGAAATTAAAATGTTTCCTCTGAATGGGTGAATTTTCAGTTGCATCACGGTCGTATTTATGAATTAATACTGTTGCCTTTCCTTACAGCATCATATTGTATATTCTGTACAGTATACGGAAGAACGGTTACACACACACACACATAATATTGGTATGTCTAGAAATCCCACTGTTATTTCATCTATTATTATTCAAATGCTTGAGCTCTGTTGGGATGCATTATAACAGAACGCAGATTTGATGGTTAAACTGGTGTAGCATTTTTCCGAGCACATAACATGATTAGATTACAATAATGCTCATCTGTAACTAGAAAACTTCACCATGTTGGTGTTGTAACGTGACGTTAAACATGCAAGTATTAGGTATGGTAACTTACAACACGAGTCTTGGGGCTCTTAAACTTGGAATTCAACTTGACAATTTAACATCCCAGACTTGGTTGGATTCACCTACAACACCCTCCTTACCAAACAACATCGTATTTATGAAAGGATTTCACAAATTTCACCTTAAACTTGAATAGAACACACGGGGCTTACATTGTGACTTGTTATTTCAGTGGTAAGGCCAAGTTGAGGCGGGTGGTGACTGTGGTTAGGGTGTGGCGACAAGCATTGATGCATTGTTTCTCATCGATACACCAACAGGTACACGGCTATTAATTATCCCATGATTTAGCTTGTAAATATTAATATACTTTCAAAAATCCTTAAGTGCCACTGGTGAGTCAATCAAATATTGTGTTGGTGGTTACCCGTTGCTGATATGTACAATGAAAGACAAAAGTCGTGTCTTGAAATTTGGTGAAAACATATGCCGAAGGGCTTAAGCTTTTGGCGCGCTCTGCCTTGTGGTAGGGGGCTCTCATAATGTTTCACGAGTTATATTTAATCTTCGGGCAAAACCGTGACATGACTTTTGTCTTTGATTGTACAAGCCGATTATAAAACAAACACTTAATGTGTAAGATTTGTACAGACACTGTATTTATGACATTTAAGTTCAATTATGCAGATTATACACTTACAGTATACAGTGTTATTTTTACGTGTCGAAGACATGCCTCAGTTCCTAAAGTTACCCACAACTTTCATAACATTCCAGGTGAAATCTTGATCCATAAAAATACTATTCTTGATTGCAGTGTACAAGTGTTTTGGAATATTTGGTGATGGGGTGAGACAAAATATTTAGAAATCACCATAATTTAGGTTTACAGCGGGGAGTAAAGACAATAGTATGATAACTCCCGAGATGGACTTAACATGGGAGACAGGCTAGATCAAGAAGCTTGGGCTAGATGGTAACCGATCACAAGAACAAATAACACGAAACAGGTTTGAGTAATTATTCGTCAATCTTCTTGTTTACGTTTGTCATTATAAAAATGGGGGGGGGGGGGGCGCTATTCTGTGTTAGAAGAAACGAGTTGTTTAGCTATAAATAACTTCGATTTATTCAACACAGTGAAAAATTATCACGCTGTTTTCCGTGTATTGCCCTGATTGAAGTTCTTGGGTAAGATTGGATTTAGTTTAGGGTTACTGTTCAGTATGCCAATTTGGAGACTTTGTGTTATATGAAATACTGCAGTGGCTTAGTTTAAGGTATGTATTGAATGATTAATTCAGATACTTAAAAACAACTCAAGATAATAACGATGAACTTTGGAGATGTGTTCGCACCCTGCCTGGAACATATTTACCTACTGTAAGAGGGTCCCCGAGTGTATCAAAACTCTAAATGCTTTGCTCAGAACCGGTGTGGGGAACAAGTTAATGAATATCAAATAATTAACTAAATTTAAGAGTGAAAAACTACATAAAGTAAATACATCACAAATTTTATTATTTTTCAAAAAGTTTCAAGTGTGAAGGTAAATATGAACTTAGACATGGTGTTCTTATTAATGATTGCGAATTACTAATTATGCAATTTGATTTGGCCGTCCAAACTTGGCAGCTACTGGCTGGTTACCCCCTTCAATCGTGTTATTATTCAATCATCTGGTCCCAGGTACACAAAATCTTCGCGGACTCTTGCTTGGTTAGTTCACTGATCAGCGATATTCTGCAGCTTGCCAGGTTTTATTAGGTCTACCCTCTTCTGTAAATACTTTTGTTTATGCACTTAACATCCATTCAACCAAGAAGCTGAGGAGACAAGAGGGTTGGGTGTGTGAAAAGTAAAACAACGAAACCAGATTGCCGAAGATATGAAACAGACACGATGAGGGGGTAAGCCCCAAGAAAATACAAGTCCTGGGGAACTAGGAAAAGTTTGACGAGGCTCTGAAAGAAGTAAATGTTGAAGGTGAAGTACTAGGTGCAAGTGTGGTGTACCTGGGAAGTCGAACACACCCGCTGTAGGTTGACGGGTCTCTTGGTCTGTTATGCACTGGGTGTCCATTTGAGGTGAAATTAAATTCATCGCGGGTCAGTCGACTTGTTTGTTTGTCGACGGGACACTGTCATTGGATTTGTGGTCCTCGGTGAGTTGTTATCCGAAGTATCCATTTTGTTCACTAAAATCTTAACTACACCAATGATTATTGCATAGTTAGGTACGGGGGTCTGTTTATGCTGAATAAAATTGACTGGCGAACTCATGTATGAAGGTAAAAAAAATCTAACCAACAGTCTCAATTTGTTACGAAATGTAAATATTCAAAATTTGAGAAAATAGATCAATGTATTTGATTTTAACTCAAGTGCTATCTTCTTATTTTGGTATGCGACTTGGCTCGGACGTTTTTTAGACCTTGTGAGGCTTAAAACGACCGGTATAGTGTGGACGTCGGCGCCTATATCACCACTACTTCAAACTTTCACTTACATCCCGTAATAACTTTCTCTACCTCACCCTGTCACAGTTCCTCCTCCCCATCTCCTTCCTATCACAATGCATCACCTTTTTACACTATCATTGGAGGAAGAGATTGTGATGGTAGGGGGATGCGTTGTAACTTTGGCATGTGATTAGAATGCATATAACAACGCGAAGAGTGGAGGTAGTACGTGTCTGGTTACTGTTTAGAAATATTTTTACCAGAACAATCATTATTCCCTGCTGGTACGTATTCATGTTGTTATCAGACTTCGTTGTAATTCCAGTCGTTAGCGTAGCAAGTTGATGGCTATCGGTGTTGTGAACAAAACGCTAAGAAACAGTGGAAACTACTTGTCAGGTTTACTAAAAAAAAAACGGGTACATTTATATGATAATTATTGAGGTTACACGTACATTCCCCTAAAGTGTGACTAACTGCATGTTCTCTCTCCCTCTCCAGGTGTTGTTGAGTTAATTCGTCATTCCTGAGCCGCGGGTTGATTTACTACCTGAACCAGTGATCATCTACCTCGTCTCTGCACTTGGAGACCTTCATCTTCTTGAGGCAGTCACGTCGTTGCTGGCACCATGACGTACTCAGCCAGTCAGTTTGGGGATCGCTTCACCTGGCACGACTATGTGGTGTTCGGCTGCATGTTGGCTGTGTCGGCCATCATAGGCATTTTCTACGGCTTCTTCGGTAAAAAACAAGACACTAATGAATTCCTGATGGCTGGCAAGTCCATGACGACCTTCCCAGTGGCCATGTCTCTAATCGCCAGGTAAACACCCTCATCATGTGTTGATCCCTGTACTTCCTTTCCCTGGTACCCAATTCCCGCTCCCTCCGCCTCCCCCTCCCCATCATCCCTCCTCCCTCTCTCCCTCTGCCCTAAACATTTTTTCCTACCTTTGCATTCATGTTCCTCCACCTCAAACGTTTTCGGACTGTTTACACCCCCCCCCTCCCCTTCTTTTAATTTCTTCCTTTCCCAAGTCCTCCTATCCTCAATTTCTTTTCATTATTATCTGTATCATTTTTCACTCTTCCCCAAGAGTGTAATAAGAATATTTCATTGTTTGTATTATATAAACTTCCAGTATTGAGTTCATGGAATGACAATACAATACCAGAGATTAGATCATCAAATTGTTTAAGATACATTCACGAACTAATGCAACAAAGTAACATCTCACTGGGGACAGAACCCTTGGGTATGTGGTCAGGTTTTCATAAATGTTGACTTTAGAGAGTAGATCAGGATGTGGTAACTGTCATCTCACTCCATTTATAACTGATTAATAATATTCACTGGATGACGATCTGGTCACAGGTGTACAATTTTCACCCAGAAGAATCCTAGGTCCTGAGTCACGGATATTGATGGTTACAAGTGTTCCCTGAAGAATGCAGTGATGAGTAGGGAAACACCGTGTAACACTGAAGTCCGTTTATTATGGATGAGAGAAATACAAGTGGTGACTAGAGTGTGCCATGCACGGCTCACACAGTCAGACTGAGACTGCCTTGCCATATGGCAGCCTCGGGGCAATGTTGCCACATAACACGTGCAGTGTTGCCACGTAATTATATATATAAATGCTACTCGGCACAGTAGCTTATTTACAAGGTTGCTACTCGGCACAGTAGCTTAGATGCATAACCTACAGATATAACCACAGATGTTCTTTCCCTTGTCATGACAGCTTCATGTCGGCCATCACGCTGTTGGGGACTCCGTCGGAAGTGTACCAGTTCGGGTTCCTCTACTGGCTCATCGGGTTCTCTTATATCCTAGTGATGCCCTCCGCTGCCTACCTCTACTTCCCGGTCTTCCATAAGCTCCAGGTACACACTTCTAGCCTAATGTAGTTCTGATTTCCTGACTGCTGTTGCATATATTTAATATTTGCCTTGGTAGTTGGTGAGGAAAATGTTGCTGTAGGGAAGTGCTTCTCAGTGTGACCTTTCTGTATTCCATGCTGCAGAGGATATTGCGGCAGAAGTGAGTTCATACTGAGAGTTAGTAACTATAACTAAATAATAATGGTCTTGAATGATGTCAATAGTGAAAGTTGTGGCTTAATGTCTTGAGAAAACTTGACCCTTAAAAGATAAGTCGACCCAGGGGATGTGTCCACTACTTGATACCGAGTTTCTCCTGCAGGTCACCTCCGCCTATGAGTACCTGGAGAGAAGGTTCCACAGGTCTGTGCGTTGGCTCGGCTCTGCCGTTTTTATTATCCAGGTGAGTAGTAGAGGTGGGGGTGGGTTAGGTAGATGAGTGTACAGCTTGGTGGTAACGTAAGGGTGTAAAAACAGCCAGGGAGAGGGGGTATAACGGTGCCAGGGGCATAGGAAGTCCCTTCACAAACTGTGAAGTCTTACATCCAGAATCAGTCATTTTATTTAGAAATAGAAGTATTTAAGACAGTGTAACATGTAGCTACAGTTTTTGCTGTGTGTGACATTAATGCCTCTGGTGTGTGCGCAGATGTGTCTGTACATGGCTATCGTGGTTTACGCCCCGGCTCTTGCCCTACAACAAGTCACCGGCATTAATGGTTATGTCTCCATCTCCCTCATCTGCTTCGTCTGCATGTTCTACACCACACTTGGCGGCATGAAGGCGGTGCTCTGGACCGATGCTCTCCAGGTGAGTTCCGGGTGTACAGATGATAAACGGTATAATAAATGTGTTTACGTCGGATGAAAATTGTCAGAATAATGCAAATGGAATGCTACTTCAACAAATAAAGGAGTAGAAACTTTGATTGATGAATTAAGATAAACATGAAGAAGCTAAAAAAATAAACGTATATGAAGATAGATAAAAACTGTGACTAATGACGGTGACCTCACCTCCAGACGCTCATCATGTATGCTAGTATGATGTTCGTTATCATCAAGGGCGCCATCGATGCTGGCGGCTTCGATGTTGTGTGGCAAATAAATGCAGACAGCGGCCGAGCTCAGCTGATTGACTTCGACCCTGACCCGACCACCCGCCACACCTTCTGGACCCTTGTCATCGGAGGTTATTTCACCTGGATCACCATCTACGGTGTTAACCAGGCACAGGTACAGTGTTGTGTCAATTTGTGTCAGTGTTATTAGTGGCATTGAATTCCTGTAGCATTTTTCCAGAGTTTGTATCTGTATGGTTTGTCACTTCATTAAGTTCTGTGCCGGAGAACATCTGTTGAAAAGGTACTTTTGATTCCAAGATTTAAATGGCCTAAAATTGTGTAGTGTTTAATAGAGACAAGAAGCCACATTGAAGGGTTATTTCAACACGAATTTTTTCATAAACGCGTCAAAAACCACAGTCCCTTTCCCATGTCATGTACTAGTTGCATTGGTAATTATTTAAAACTTATATACGCATTATGATGTAACGATAATGTCACTGACATGTAACTTTGAGCTACATCTATTTAGGTCCAGCGATACCTCAGCCTTCAAACCAAACAAATGGCCATCAATGCGCTGTGGATCAACCTGATAGGACTGTTTATACTGATGATCACCTGTTCGTTTGGAGGGATGGTTTTGTACGCCAATTACCACGAGTGTGACCCCATCCGCTCAGGTGTGGTTGACAAGGGAGACCAGCTGTTCCCGCTCTTCGTTATGGATACCCTTGGCCAATGGAGAGGTCTCCCAGGACTCTTTGTCGCTGGAGTATTTTCCGGGGCTTTAAGGTAATGCTGCTTTGCCTGAATAAAATTATAGCAAGACCAGTTATTGGAATTTTAATTTTTCAAACTTTTTTTTTGCTGTTGTTGTCCTTTATGTATAAGAAATAATATGACCCAAAAATCAGTAAATTAATTACACCAAACATATGTAAAGTTTGAAACACATGCCTGAGAGATTCTGTTCCTGATTTAACGGAGAAAGTCTAGAAGCTGTATCGTTTATATATACAACTATAAATGTCTCGGATCTTACCAGACCATTTGAATATTTACTCTTGTAATACCATCAGCACTGTGTCTTCCGGAATGAACTCCTTAGCGGCCATCGTGTTGGAGGACTTTATCAAGGCCGGCTGTTATCCCAAGATCTCTGAAAACGCTGCCACCTGGACTTCAAGGGGCCTATCACTTTTCTTTGGTCTTGTTACTTTCGGACTCGTCTTTGTAGCAGAACAGCTCGGCAATATTTTGTCTGTAAGTACCTGTTCCACTTTTATTGTTGCAAATGCATTTATAGATATAATCCTCCTTGTTAAGAGCTGATGACTTAATAAGGAAATATATTAGAGTTTATATTGTGGACATGTGTGCCAAAGGAACATTGAACATTGTATCACCACTGTATCATCACTAGCACCACTGGATACTGCCATTTGCACCACACAGTAATTTTGTGTTCCATCTCAGGCGGCGCTCAGCATCTTTGGTATGGTCGGAGGGCCTCTGCTAGGAGTCTTCACCCTCGGCATGTTCTTCCCCTGGGCCAACTCCACCGTAAGTTTTTTTTTTTTCCAATGATCGTCTTATATCATAGACGCATCCACATCTCTATATGTTCTCTTTTATAATCAGATGAATGTTGGTGAGGCAGAATATCCTCACAGACTCTCACTGACTGTATTCCTCGCTCTGTCTGTCAGTCGAGGTGCCATCATGATGTATGGCGGCTTTTGACCATTGTCCTCTACGCAAAACATTTTTGGGCTGTTTTTGCCGATTATTCTAGATTTTGCGTCACGCTTGGAACCCCCATTTTCAATTTAATTTATCCATCTCAGTCTCTGCTTTCCCCAGGCCCTCTTACCTTCGTTTGTGCCCATTAATAATAAAATTTATACCATTATCCATTCATCCTTAATTTTATAGACAAGAATTTTCTGTATATCTCATGTTCTTGTCAGTCTTAGTACTCCTTCTTTAGTATTCTGTCAGTTACTGATATTTTTTTTACCTGATGCCTGCCATAAGTTAACCAGTTTTAGCAAGGCCGCTTTAGTACCTGTAATAAGAGCAGTATCATCTGCATTTACAATATTGACAAACTATAAATACAGTACGTCATAACCACTTTCAACTTCTCATTAAATAATTAATTTGGAATAAATTACATTTATAATGTACAATGTTGGAGAAAGCACGTGGCTATCTAACTCTCTTTAACCATTAACTAACTACGGGTAGTACTGTAGTTTCATTACAGTGATTTTCTAATACAGAGTATTGCAGCTTCCTGTTCCAAGTTAAAAAAATTAATTCTAGTATTGACTATATCATCTTCGTTATTGCCTGTTATTTTTTTACCCCTCCAAAGGCTTTTTCAAAACCTACAAAATGGACAACAAATTTCATTAAACTCTTACAACTCTTACTTTTATTTTTTTTAAATCGATTATACCTCCTTTATTTATCTCAAGGCCATCTTCCCTGTATTATAAAAACATCCCTACAGTACAGTACTCTTAAGACTGTACAGGTGATAACACAAATATTTTTTTTTTTTAAATCTCTGAGATCTCCTTTGGATTGAACAGAATACACATTTTAGACAAATACTGTATTGGTCCCAATCTTGTCCAGGAAGATAAGCCGCCTTACAAGCTTAATAATTTTTCCAGTGTTCACGGTTGCCTCGGTTTCTGTTTTCTAATTTGGTTGTTTGATCTTTATTTCTGCTTTCTTACCACCATTCTCTCACAATCTTTGTATATTTATTTACTTAATTTGTCTATTAGTCTTTACTTCTGCCTCAAACAGAATCTTTATAATTGCATATTATAGTTCCAATCTATTTATGTTCTCTTATTTTCTTAACCTCTCTTGATGTATTCCTGCACATGTCTCCTCTCATTATCTTTAGTTCATCTTCGGTCGTGTACGTACTGTACTATACATTCCTTTGTTTCGTTCTGAAGTTCTTTGCAAGCCTTCGTTATCAACTTTCTTCTATCCATTTTCTTTATAATTTTATATGGGATTCACTCACTTTCAGCCTGGTTCCTCTTTGGTCCTATCCATTTGTTCTGTTTCTTGCTCTTCAAGTCTGTTCTCTAACAATAATGAAAATCTTAGTTTTCATTTTATATTCTGTCGGTCTCTCTTTTTATCTTCCCTAAATCCCTTCTGACTTTATTTTATCCTCTTTTTTTAAGTTTTCGCCCCCACAAAGCTCATTATTTGAGCACGGCCTAAGCCACAGATGGTTCTTTGAGGAATGAAGGTGGAGTTGAGGTAGATTTTATTCATTCCTCGCTGGTATAGAACCTACCCATCACACAGCATTACCAAAAGGAAAAAGATGGACAGCGTCTGCATCTGATTCCACACTAAAAAGAACTGAAAATAAGGTTCTGAAAGAAGGCTTCCTTTTGTGATGAGCTGCAAGATTATGAATGTTTTATGTACACTCGCTACAGAAAGTATTTGCAAGGTGGGTTTCCAATGGATGTCAAAATGAACACTGCGACTCCTGTTGTCTTGGTAGTGTTATCAAAATCTTTCATCTGCCGTGTCATATTGTCTAGTAAAACAAAATGCAGATACTTTTTGTAGCGAGTGTACCCAGTTAATGAAGTAAACAATCATATAATTAAGGTCACATTAACAATTGTATAAACATCGTGAAGCAATCACCCACAGACATTTTGATATTATAACCTTTATGCCATTCACCCAACAGGGAGCCTTTGTTGGTGAGGTGGTCAGCTTGGTCTTCATGTTCTGGATTGGAGTCGGTCATCAGGTGGCCAAAGCTTCGGGTCAAATAAGATTAACTGCCATGCCCACAAGTATAGACGGGTGCAACATCACTATCCCTGAACCAGACTACACTCATATACTGTAAGTAGGCTTGTACTGTATTCTCTGCTGTAAGTATATGTCCACACTCTGAGACCACGGATGATAGATACAGTTTATAGAAAAATAGAGTATAAAAAGATATTTTCTTGCTCCCATTAGCGTACAACTAGACCGATATACTGCAACTCTGACAGCCCTTAATCGTTGATGTTTAGTGTATGATCTAAGTGTACCGTACGTTCTTAAGAGTTGTAATTTGTCTATTTGTCTTTATTTTTGCCTCAAATAGAATCTTTATAATTACATATTATAGTTCCAATCTATTTATGTCCTCTCATTATCTTTAGTTCATCTTCGGTCGTGTACGTACTGTACTATACATTCCTTTGTTTCGTTCTGAAGTTCTTTGCAAGCCTTCGTTATCAACTTTCTTCTATCCATTTTCTTTACAATTTTATATGGGAGGTGGTTGCTAAAAGGAGTTATGCTGAGGCATTAGCAGGGCCACGGGAGGTGACGGAGAGTAATGCAGGATCAGAACAGGTTCTACAGCAGCTAGGGAATCTGAAGACGTGTGTCGAAGAAATGAAAATTAACGGACCTACTGTTAGGGGAGAGGAGGAAAAGCAGGGATGTTTCCAGCGCAGGAACAGTGTCATAGTTTTTGGAGTCCCCGAGAGCCAGGCGGAGGGAACTGAGAGTAAGGTAACACACGATAAGATGCAGTTTAAGAATATTTGTAAAGAGGTTCTGAAGATGCCATCAACCCCACAGGATGTGAGGAGGTTGGGACAAAAGCAGGGGGATGAGCCTCGCCCCCTCAGGATTACACTAGTGAGCGAGGAGGAGAAATGGGAGGTTATTCGGTAGGCAAAAAACTTAGCAAAGAGCGAGGCATCTCGGAGTGTATTCATTCACCGAGATCGCACGGTAATGCAGAGGGAACAGCACAACAAGCTTCTGCAGGATTTGAAGCAGAAGAGGGAGGAGTCCAGGAGGAACGGGGACGGGTGTACATGGGATATATTCAGGGGGAGGGTAGTGGAGGCAAGTGTGCCGACATAGGGCCAGGGGGCAGCAGCGCACCCTCCACCCGCTCTACTCCCCCCCACCCGGGAGGTGGCACCAGCTCCGCCTACCAGACAGGAGGAGGCGAGAGCCGTGTAAACAATGACATTTCTAACCACACCCTGCAAATTACAGTGTACTTAGCAAATGCTGCAGCGTCTGAGAATGGGGGGGGGGGTTACTACTAAGAGCAGAGACGTTACCATGAGCAAATTCTGGCTTGAATGTCATGTACACTGATACTGACACGTTCCTTGATAAGAGAAAGAAGTTTGAAACACTACTGAAGGTACACCAACCAGATATTGTAGGATTTGTAGAACTGTTGTACAAGAACAGGAGAATCGGCCCAGAGGAATGTGAGTTCAGTATTGTTGGATACGACTCATTTATGAACCTTTCTCAAGAAACTTGCAAGAGGGGTGTGGTTATCTATGCTAGGCAAGACCTTAGAGCCAGCCAGGCGAGGGTACAAGGAGAGGATGTTTTTGAAGAGTCCAAGTGGTGTAAATTAAATTAAAGGGATGGGACTTATCGTCGGGTGTATCTACAGATCCCCAAACTGTGGCCCACTAAATCAAAGGAACTTACCCTAAGAACCTTAATAGACAACGCAGCGATGCTCAACCCAAGCCACCTCCTTATCATGGGGGGACTTTAACTATGGCGACATCGACTGGAGAAACGAATTCACCCCAAATGACTTGAATTACCCTGCTACTCGTTTTGTAGAAACTCTGAGAGATAATTTTCTGTTCCAACATGTTAGAGACCCGACACATTACAGAGGGGGAGCAAACACCCAAGCCACTAGAGCTCATCATAACAAACGATGGGGTATGGTGGCCAAAATGGAACACCTTGCCATTGTTGGTACCAGTCACCATATAGTGTTGTCATTCAGATTTAACTGTTATCTAGTTCAAGATAAGGCCAGGCCAAGGTGCAAACATTGCAAAGTAAATTACAGCGGGATGAGGGAAGAGAAGAGGGGTATCAACAGGCCTGACTCATTAAGGCACAAGAATGCAGACACTACGCTGAATATTATAACTAGTAAAGTGACTCATTTGATCGATAAATATATACCCAAGACCAAACCCAGTGTCTCTAGGAATACGAGGGGATCCCTACACATGAACCATGCGGTGGTCGACAAAGTTAAGAAGAAAACCCAGAAATTCAAGACGTGGGTTGGGTCAAACGATGAGCAAGACAGGAGGATGTATGCAAGAGCCAGAAACCAAGCAAAGATAGAGTGTAGGAGGGCTGAAAAGGAGTTCCAAAGGCTGGTTGCAAGCGAGGTCAAGTCAAACCCAAAGGCGTTTTACCGCTATGCAAAGTCGAAATTATAAATGTGATTAGGAGTATCATACCTGTGGCTTGAAGATGGTAGTTAGGCAGATTCTGACCAGGATAAAGCTGAAGCATTGAACAGTTTCTTTTCCTCGGTGTTCACAAGAGAGGATGCGATTAACCTTCCTGTGTTTGAGGACAGACGGTTCAACACAGCACTGACCCACATTGTGTTCACAGAAGAGGGTATTAGAAATAAACTGTCAAAGCTAAAGGTTCATAAGAGTCCCGGACCTGACATGGTGCATCCTAGAGTGCTAAGAGAGTTGTGCAACGATCTTGCCGAGCCCCTGAAGATCTTGTTTTGTAAAGGCCTGGATGAACAAAAGGTCCCCAGTGAATGGAAAGTGGCTTATGTGAGTCCTATCTTCAAGAAGAAAGATCGTCACTCCACGAACAACTATAGACCGGTGAGCCTGACCAGCATAATATGTAAAGTACTTGAGAGAATTATCAGAGATGCCGCGATGGAACATCTACTATGAAACAACCCTGTAAACTTTGTATAGGATTGCCAACACGGTTTTATGCCGGGGCGCTCCTACTTAACACATTTGCTCAAGGTATTGGATATTTGGACCCGTATTCTGGAACGAGGTGGTAATATCGACAATATTCACCTAAATTTTGCAAAGACTTTCGACAGTGTACTCCTACGAAAGGCTGAAAATCAAACTGGAAGGGTACGGAATTCGGGGAAATGTCCTAGTGTAGACAGAAGACTTTCTACATGACCGCAAGCAGTGTGCGTGGTGATTAATGGCACGAAATCATCATCCGTACCTGTTGCAAGCGGGGTACCACAGGGCAGTGTACTGGGCCCGCTGTTGTTTGTTTCATAAATGACATGCCTGACGTCGTACCCTCCTCCATACAAATGTTTGCCTATTACGCCAAGTTATTTCGAGAAATCAAGAACCAAGCGGACTGTGAAGAGCTGCAGAAGGACCTCTGTGGGCTCCAAGAATGGTCGAAGAAATGGCTGCTGAGATTCAATGTCACGAAGTGTAAGAGGATGCACCTGGGGCGTACCAACGGTAAGGAGGCGTATCATATGTCCCAACGGGATGAAGAAACTGCATGTGAGAAGGACCTAGATGTGTATGTTGACAATGAGCTGAAGTTCTCGGGCCATTGTGAGAAGAAGGTAAATCAGGCAAATAAATTATTGGGTCTTACAAGAAGGTCGTTCAGATATCTAGACCCTCCCTTGTAACGATCTTCAAGAGTGAAGTGCTTCCCTATCTGTAGTTCTGTCACCCCGTCTGGTCCCCGAGATACGCTTGGGACTGTCAGTTGGTTGAAAATGTTCAAAGGAGGGCCAGCAGGCAGGTGCCTGCACTTCGGCACCTCAGCTACCCTGAGAGATTGGAGCGTCAGAACTTGCCTAGCTTATACTACAGAGGGGCAAGGGGGGACCTAATTGAGGTGTATAAGCATCTCCAGGGGCCCTACTCAGTTGAGTGTCCTTACTTGGAGCTGGCGGACGCTCGCCCCCACAAGGGGTCACAGCTCAAGATTGAAGAAGCCGCAAGTCCAGAAAATTGTGAGGGCTTTTTCGGAGTGAGATTTGTGAACTCTTGGAACAATCTACCAGAAAGTGTTGTGACGGGACCGAGTGTGAGCTCTTTCAAGACAAGATTTTACCAACACTGGAGCAGGTTTAGGAACATTCAGGAGCCGGTGCATGCCCAGCACTTGCCAACAGTGCGTAACAGAGACGTGGTCGATCGTCCAAGCGGCTAACGAGCCGATCAATGGTGGAGAGGATAAAGGTAAGTAAAAGTAATAATCTTATTGCTGCATTTCAACAACTAAGGCGTTTAAGCGTATAACAAGGGTAGCAATTACACTATTACATCAACAATTAAAAACTATGAGAGATAAATGGGAACAAATTCCTGTTTAATTTAAGATGCCATTTATAAAACCAAACTATACCCAACATTCAGTTTACTAGCTGTTCAGGTGGTTGGTCTGCTCTTTGTTACTATGTTTGTAATTCATTTATAGTTTTTACTGTAGTCAAGCTGAGTGGGGTACACGCAATGTGGTTTACTTAACTACTGTAAGGACAGAATGTTGTACTGTACATAATATTTAGTAATAATCATGAAACTGGACAGTTTAACATTACTATTGACGAAGCCATCATCCCAACATTACAAAAGGCATTCATCTTGCCATGACAAATTTTGTCAGAATTTTAGAAATGCCGCCAATACTGCTTCAATGGAGTTTAGGCTTGTTCAGTACCAGACCCCCTTTCATTGACTAGCATTTGTGTGTATTATCAAAGTTATTGGTATCTTCTGTCCACAGTGAGAGTGATCCTGGTGAGCCTCTGGCCATATACCGCCTGTCATACATGTGGTATTCTGCCACGGGCTGCTTCACCGTGATCGTGGTGGGTATGCTGGTGACGCTGGTGACTGGCAAGCAAGACGTAAGGGCCCTCGACCCTCGTTGCCTCTCTCCTGCTGTCTTGTGGCTCAAGAACTGGATACCAGGACTGGACGGTCTTGGGGAAGACTATGTGAGTACAGTACTGTATTGAGTGTTCTCGAAAACGGTGTTTACATGCTTCCCACACTGCACACCTTTCTTCCATTCTTATGTTCTTACCTACCTTTAGCATTCACTGCACATTAGACAGTACATGGCCATTTGCCACTTTCCACCACGGGTTCATAATCCACGCCACCAATAAATCCTCTTGTTTGTGCCACATTCACTTTCAAGTCCTTTTGACTATATTTTGTCCTTCCATTTCTTAAATTTCTCCGCTGCCTTTACAATATTATTTGCAGCATCATCAATACCAAATCGTCAGCATATACTAAGTCCTGAATTCCCTGATAGTTCAAGTATCATGATAAACAAAGGGGGCACAGGCCAGACCCTTGATGAACACCGATTTTCACCCCAGATTTCTCATTTTCTTCGCCATGTACTCCCTGCTGTTTTTGAACCCTCATACACTCCCATAACCACTTGAACAAGCACTACTCATGAGGCAGATGGCTTTAATCCAAATTTTAGGTAATTATTATCTATTCTATGTAAAAGATAGTGCCGATTAAAAAAAATTATTCGTTCATTACAAAACAAGCTATAAAATTATTCTGTCCAACTTTGACATGGCAGGATACATTGCTTGCCATACCACAGTTACAGTTTGTCTTACTGTTACCATACTTGCCTTGCGTGTTTTCACGCCACTGGGCCAAACAGGAAATATCCTTAAAAATAGATACTTGTTCACTGTATATTTAAATACTATACAACATGTACTGTACTGTGTGATCCACTACCCTTTAAACATAGATGTACAGCATCAGAACTCCCAAATGCAGTCAAACATATTTTTGCAAAATACTGTACAATATTGTCAAAATTTGGCCTAAAAGTGACATCCTGGCAAATGTCTTCATAAAGACTGAAGTGTTCAGCACGAGAAACATGCTGTATGCAGTACTCTCGTTTTTCCGTGTTTTATCTTCTACGGTGAGACGTCGGTGTAATGTCTTTATGTAATATTACACAATGGTGTTTCTTACCTAATGAATTAAGCATAATTTTATTTAGTGGAGTAATCTTTTTGCCATTTTAGAGCTTATCTGCTAAGTTCATTTTTTATCTTTCAGGTTGATGAGGAAGAGGGTCTGAAAGAGAGCAAGAGCTCTTCTTCCTTGGGCAATGTCAACCCAACCTTTAACTCTGAAATTGTTGAAAAAACCCAAAATGGATATGTGATTGAGAGCTCAAAGCTGTAAAATATGTTTCACTGTAAACAAAACATTTTCAGAGGTCGAACTTATAAGAAGAGAGCCGACCAGTGAAAAGAAAGATATAATAAAATAATGGTTCGCCAATTAGTCATATGAAGTGTCAATACCAAGCTTCCTGTCGCAGCCAAGGTTCATGTGCTGTATCAACATATCGGCATTTTATGACACAAATTCAGTAGCCTACAGTATTTGAGATGCTAGTTACTGAAGTTTGCAGTAGATGAGGCAGTAAAGTGAAATTAAAACTGAGGATATGAACTGAATTTTGATACAGGGTTTGCATAATTGTCTGGCATATGTATAATACAGTGCAGTTTAGTAATTTAGTGCTCTGTCTGCAGAATGTGGACCTACATTACAATGTATTAATTGCATCATTACCTGACATACATACCATACATCGCTACACAGTGAACTGTAACTTGTGTCAGTGTGGTACATACTGTATGTTGAACACAAGTGTCCAGGGGGTGATGGTTAATATTCTCTTGCATAATTGGTTATTCCTAGACATGATTCTAATGACTTAACTGGATCTGAAACAGCCAAGAATATCCTCTTAATTATGTTTGACTAGAGCCTCATAGTTACACGGGTGAATTTTTATCCCATTACCTAGCAGGCTTTTTAGATATTTATGAAATGATTCTTGTTTTATTAAATTTTAATAACTCTTACTGTATGAATATGTATTGTCTTTTATATATTCATTCACTGTAATTGCATGGAAATTTTTCATTATCATTAATTCATTCTTTTCATCAACATTGCTTGAACGTTGTTTGTAATTGAAGCTATTAAGTACAGTAACTGCAGTGTCCTAAAGCCCCGGGTGACGTTCCAGAACGTCCTCCTATTTTCCCGTCATTTTTTATTATTATTTTTGGAAATTTTGATTTTTTTCTCGATTTAACCCAGCGTGGGGGGTACTGCCAGCAGCACCCTAGCCCAGTGCTGATTAGAGGCTGTATTGTTTTTGTTTTACTTATCTAAACTTACCTCATTACAGTTACTGTACATAATCTATTTTTTTTATCTTAATTTTGGTCTGTGATGCAATTTTTAGTAAATACGTAACCACCAAACTATAATTCTGATGGAATTTCGTTGTATACAGTTTTAAATATTTATAAAAGGTTTACAAAAGCGATTGGAAAACATTGCATATTGCATTATTTGTTACATTAAGACTCTAAATCTTTATTTCTACCCAGCTAAACATGGATCAGGCCCTATCCTAATTCTGTCCAGTCCTTGTTCAGTCATCTCCCCAGTAGTTCAGTACAATACTAACTGAAGAGACTGCATAATGGTGTCCGTTTCTTGTTATTTTAATTTTTATCCTATACCATCACCCTGATTAATTATCATGGTTGCTTTTTCGTTACCCAGGAAGTGCAAATGGGGACAATTATTAATGACAAGTAAAATAAAGAAACATGAAAGTCTGGTAACTCAATGGGGCATTCTGGAAGCACATGGGACGTGTTCCACAGTGCCAGTGAGCTGCCAGTTAACTCGTGTGCCCAGGGAAGGAGACATACAAGTCTTCAGTGTAGTTTTGGACGTACAGTAGTACTGATGTCTTAATTCTTGTCTACATCTGACTTGTACTTTTCTCTTGTAGTGGAAAGTTTCTGTTCCTACTCTGGCCATTATAAACAGTTTAAATTATGAAATGATCTGTGGTGTAGTGTGCATCATTTAAACTAGCAGGCAAATGGCTTTGTACAGTATTTTTTTTTTCCACTCAGGGTATAACTTTGACCCAGTTCTTTTGTGCCATAATGCTTCGACTGCTAGATCTGGCTTAAATGTCTTTCAATTCCAAATTCAAATTAAATGTCTTTCAATTCCAAATTCAAATTAACTGTCTTCATTTTCTTCAAAGGAATTTAGTGTTTATATTCGAAAGTTATGCACAGGCTTATCATGCAATCAGATTACAGTGATCGCCTGTCAAAGCTGTATTGTACTAAGTTTTTTTTTCACAAACAAACTTTTAATATTACAAGAGAAATGATAGTGTATCTTGTCGCTAGACATTTTACCTTTACCACTATAGTAAACAAGATATCAGAAAATACTTATACTGTACTGTAAATATTTCTTAAATGGTGCCTAGTTGTACCCCTCGTATTTTAGCTCCAATAATATTGTTGGATATATTGTATCTACCTGATTTTGTTTTGTAAGTTCTGATATTTTTCCTGTAATGTAAATTCTTCATCCAACCCTTATTTTCGCACTAAAATAAATAATGCATATACTAATATTGTACGTTTGAAGATGATGGGTATTATTTTCTGTTAATAGCAATACATTTTTAGATTATTATAAACCATCTTTTCCCATCTCCCAGTAGTTCACAGATTTTATGACCAAGAGAATTACTGTATAAATTTATTCTCAAAGTAACAATGAACTGTGCATCAAGACCACTTCTGATGTTGGGCATCTTTCAATTGCTTAATTAAAATGCAAATCTGTGGGTTTGCAGGTATTTATTGGCATTGTGCCATTATTATTTTATATTTCACATAAATTATACACTATACAGTACCTCATGCCAATAAATTCGTAAAAGATGATCTTTTCCACATTTCTTTCCAACAAGTTTTAAATGCTCTTGTATCTTTCGAAACAGCAAGTAGAATGTTCCCAGGAAGTAGATATTTCCCATTTTCTGTGATACAAATTTCCCGTTTTCTATGATAATCTACTTCGGAAAATTAGGTAATATTTCACCCAAAAGTCGATAACCTACTTTCCCAAAAAGTAGATACTTAAGATCTTTTTAATTGTCGTAAGTTCGAACTTAAGAGAAAAAATAACTTAGGATTTTTCTAATTCTCAAAAGATCGTAAGTATCTACTTTTCAGTGACGTAGATTTTCTACTTTTCGGGGAAGTATAATAATTGGCTCTTCGTTTTTGCCTTTGGAACCCTTTTGTTTTCAACTTTCTTATTAGGATTATTATAAACAAAGAAAAAGAAGTATTTTTTTCTCATTTATACGACACATTAAGTTACTTCAACTGAACAAGGTGTTTAACATGACATAACCAGGCCGATAACCCTCATGTATGTATGTATGTATGATTTTTACTCAATACATTCATACAAAATCAAGGTCCCAGTACAGGTGGATAAGTACCCCGCACTGCAACAACAATGTACCGATACTAATTCTGGGATTTTATTCATATATCCACATATTAGCTTAGGTTAATTGTCCTCTTAATAGCAGTATTATCTATCTACCCACATGCTAACTTTGGTTAATAGCCATCTTAATAGCAGTATTATGTCTATACCACATGCTAACTTTGGTTAATAGCCATCTTAATAGCAGTATTATCTGTCTATCCACATACTAGCTTAGGTTAATAGCCATCTTAATAGCAGTATTTTCTGTCCGAGCCACGGCATCCACAACTACACACGGCGGAGAGCTACACTACCGCCTCCTCCTCCCTGGACCCCACAGTACAACAACACAACTTGTTATCACCTTACCTTCACTCAACTGCTAATAACCACAATGTAGAGTCCGGGAAGTCCTCACGACGCCACAAACACGAGGTAATCCACAAACAGCAGAAGTAAAACATGGAAATAGCGATCAAATACTGTATGACCACACACACACACATGTTGCCGCCGCCACTGCCGTACCTCTAATGAGCACTGGTGAGTGGCGAACCCGAGGTGCTTCGATTCCTTAATTCATTGGTTCGCTTTACTGACTTGTATGAAAATAATCGACTGGACGGCGGAAAGAACACCATACACGATTGGTCCGTCATCTATAATCTCATTAATTTTCTTAAATCACTTCTATCCACCATTAGCTAAAATAAAACTGATAATTATTAACGAAAGATAGTCATGAGTTTCGAAGCTTCGTCAACGATCCGCATGTCACTAAACTAGTTCACAACCAAACAAGCAGCTGGCTTCTACTGTTAGCATAAGCGTAATACCTCCATTACTATTTTTATTATTATTATTATTATCGCTATTATTATTATTATAAATATTATTATTATCATTATTATTATTATTATTATTATTATTATTATTATTATTATTTGGGGTTTTAGGCCGTGAGACGTGAGTTAATGTTCGACTGATGACTCGCTCTTTGCTCATGAAGAATATCAAAATCATCAAATATTAATTTATTTTTCTTTCTAGGGTGTGTAGATGGGAGGAAAGGTGTGTGGATTGGAGGTAGGGTATGTGGATGGGAGGTAGGGTGTGTGGATGGGAGGTAGGGTGTGTGGATGGGAGGAGGGGGTGAGTGGGAGGTACAGTGAGTTCTGCTATAACGCGTGTTTTGACAACGCGAATTTGCTCGAACGCGATTTATGAATTGAGGAACGATATTCGTAAAACGCGAACTCGTTTGCTCTAACGCGATTCCACTCGAACGGTTGTTGTGACTTCAGTTCACGTTCGACATCACATATTCAATTGATTTATGTGTTTTGTTTGTGAAGAATTGCAGAAATAATTTATGTAATATTTATGTATACAGTAAACCACTCACAAGGTCCTACAGTACCACTAATTATTTTATACTGAAACTTACGTTTGGGAAGCTGGATTAAAATGAAGATTACCTGTATATTAAAATAATAAAAATGTATTATAAACCAGTCTAACATACCGTAATAAACACAGCTGCTATTATCATACCCCCATTTGCCAGTGACAAGAAAGGGAAATGACCTTGACTGTGACCGCCTGTGGCTATTTTAAACAGTCCTTGTGTTAGGTGGTGGTCAGTAATGCATATCTGTATATTTACTGATCATAATACTTATCTCTTATAAATAATTCATTTAAAATTTATTCTTTTGCAAAGAATATTCAGTAAATGACTGCATTAATTCTTGAAACTACCTACAGTGGTAAATTTAGGATATAAATAATGAACAGAAGTCACGTCATGGATTCGGAGTTTGGTCCTTAACGATCACCATAAATGTAGCCTCCCTTTGTCGAGAAACACGTATATAAATTAAAGAAAATACTTGCAGTATATTTAATATATTACAGGATATTATATATAAATAAATAAACAAATAAATTCAAATTCCCTTATCATCCTGTGTCATATACAGAAATACTTGAGTCCCTGAGCGAGTACACAAAAAGAAAACGGAGGACTAAGACAACCTGGAGTGGTGGAGAACGACACCTACTGGGGCACTCAAACGGCTGTGGACGCTCTACCATAATGTGAATAATATGGAAATTACAATTTACTTATATATATATATATATATATATATATATATATATATATATATATATATATATATATATATATATATATATGTGTAAATTGTAAAAATTTAAATAAAAGAGAAAAACAAAATAAGTAGCGTTTAAAGTGTACTGTACATTGTGGCTTGGCGCGGGGTTATGCAGTGTTTACAGTTCACGTTCGACATCACATGTTCAATTGATTTATGTGTTTTGTTTGTGAAGAATTGCAGAAATAATTTATGTAATATTTATGTATACAGTATACCTGTACAGTATATGTAAAATGTAAAATTTTAAATAAGAGAAAAACAAAATACATAACGTTTTAGACCCGCGCGCTCTGTTTACTCCAGTGTGAAGTTTTGAAGTGTCCTCAGTGAAGTGTGATTACTGTTTCTCCAATATTGTGACCATGGAAAAGAAGAATATCTCTGGGAAGCACTCTGGTGATCGTAAAAGAAAGGCTATAACACTTGAAGAAAAGCTTGATGTTTCATGACTCTTCAACATCACCCTTCTCCCCCATCAAGTTATATTCATATTTTTTTAAGGTAAAGTGTAACATTTACTGTATGATTTCATTATTAGATATGAATGTAACATTTATTTAGACTGTGCTATCCTTTGTGTTAGGCTAACTACGAAATTTTTTTTCGATTTGGAGTAATCTGCACCTAACCCTATTTTCTCCATAAGCCCTGTTATTTCTGTAGGGGTATCGATATATTAATGTTGTCTAGCACTCAGGATGGAAGGAAACTCTAATGTGGTTTTCTTGTATAATATATAAGTTATATGAGAGACAGTCTGGTGCTGGAGATGCCGTGTGGTGAGGGGCTGCTCAGTAGAAGACGTTCGGTGAGTAGCGTGTTGAAGGAGGTAGATGTGCAGGAGCTTCGTTAGAGAAGATGTTGCCTGTTGCTGGCCTCCTGGTTGAATGAATGCTGGACAGCTAGGAGCTTGCTGGAGGAGATGTTGCTTGTTCAGGAAAATGGGCAGAATGAATCTCAATGGAGAGACAGAGCTTATATACCCAGCAGCCGCTATGAGTCATGTTGGGAAAACCCGAGAAGTCGCCGGCCTTTTGGCTCGGTTGCTAGGATACGGCGGGCATTGGAATGCGGATACGCTTGGTTGCTAGGGAAGACGGTAGCAGGTGGTGTGCAGCTACGCAGTTTGTAGGGGAGACGTCCACTACATTTCTATTACACGAATTTCTATAACACGATGTTTTACAAGAACACTACTATCGCGTTATAGCAGAACTACCTGTAGTCGATTAGTGTTTAGGTGTGGTAACCCATGATGCTCAAATTAGGAGGTTTAATAGTTGGGTGGGTAGAAGCGGGGGGGGGAGGCTAGGCGCGGAGTTGGAACTCGTGAACGTATGATGTTGTTTAATGCAAGTTATGGAACATTACAGTATCTTCAAATGGGTTTTCACGATATTAATAGGCCTTATGTAATCCACCAATAAGGATTACAACAGCACACAGTATGGCTGCAATTGGTAAGAAAAATAAAATATAACATGGCAAAATTTTTGCCCTGCGTAATTTTTACAACCCAACTCACGCCTAAAGTAAACCGAAAAATGCTTATGTGTATAGAAGATTTTCAACTCAATATCACATATTCTTTCACCTCCACAAATATTTGTTGTCACTTATGGGACACCCTGCAATAGTATAAGGATGACGTGGGCTATGCTGACAAATTAATGTGACTTACCTGTTGGTGACAACAATGGTAGGAATGAGACCTCGGCATGTTTCAGTGTTCGACATCACCTCCTTCCCTTGGTGTGGGTGGCACCAACCTTGGTAACAACTTGTGTATTCTCCGTGACTACCAGTAATGGTAGTCACGGAGAATTAATTACTGGTGTGCCCATCAGTCGCACCATCGTAGCCATGAACGGCAGAGATATGGCCACTGTAGTGCTTTTATTTACCAGTTACACATCTCTCACCATGCTTAATAATATTAACTATCTTCATGACATTCTTATTGTTATCAGTGATTGCAGAATTCACGATGTTATGCTCCACCTACACACAGCCTGTTACTAGCCTAACCCCCACCTCCTCTATCCCCCCCCCACCCACAGTGGGCGACATCTGTTGGCCGACCATAGCATTTCCCCCAGCTGTTTTGAAACTTCAGACTCAAGGCAATTCGAACCCTCACTGTGGCTGGGTAGTGGACACGACTTTGGTGCACGATAGTACATCCAATACAATATGTATACAGAGAGCATAATGTGAGTTTCCTTTCTCCATCCCATCCTGAGTGTGAACCAATATCACGT